GACTTTTCAGCACATTACAAAAACTCAAATCTTTGAATATGTTAGTAAAATATGACACTGAGTGCAGGGCATTATCACCATCCTGTCATTCAGTCAGTCTTAACACCAAGGTAAGACCAGTATTTGATGCATCATGTAAATCTAAACATGGACCTTCCCTTAATGATTGCTTGGTAAAAGAGAACAATTTAATCAAGGTTTGGTTTAGTTTGGTTTGGTTTATTTAATTATAGCAAAGCACACTAGGGCTATCTGCCTAAGGGGAGGGATGCCTTCGTGGAGGACTTTCTAAGGGAAACTCGCTCACATACATGTTACATGGAGAAAACCACGAAAATGCCCATGCAGCCAGCCTGTTCACAGGATTCGAACCTCAATTTTAATCAAGGAACCACCTGTATTATTAAGGTTTAGATTGAGCACGGTGGTCTTATGTATAAGAGTACAGTGGATATAAGATGCACATTTCTGCAGATTGAATTCAAAAGGATCAAGATTTTTTAAGGTTCCTTTGGTGGGAGAATGATAATCTCATAAGAGTGCATCACCACACATAGTTAAATTTTGCGACCACACCAGCTCCTATCTTTTAGGTGCTGTCATTTCTTTCCGTTTGTCTTGAATGTCTGCCGAACTAAATTATGCAGCAGAAAAACATGGAAATTCTTTTTACATAGATGAGTGTGCCCCATTTCTTGATACAGAGCACGAACTGAAGTTTTTTTATGGATAAGCCAATAACCATTTTGGCAAAAGCTAAGATGGGCCTTCAGATGTGGATATTTTGTCCTATCATAAATTGTTATTAAACTTTCGAGCAATGATTCGAAATCCATTCCTGAAATATGATTTCAGTCTCTAACAAAAGGGATTTTTTGACCAGCTGGGATTCCTGGAGAATGCAAGAAGTTTGGGACACTAAATCGGATTTGGATTGCCTACTGCTAAAAGAAGTCGAACAAAAGTTTTTAAAATCATACAGCGATGCCAGATTAGTGAAACGTACAGAGAAAACATTAAGAGTGATAGAATGGTATAGAAATAGGTTAGAGCAGCTATTCTTATCCTGTGGTACGCAAGAGAAAAATAGGTAGCACGCAAGAGAACAAAGTATTTTTAACTATTAAATTCAAAAATTAAATACCCCAGAATAATGTTTAAGGTTTTTTTTTTTTTTTTTTTCTCTAAAACTCATAAATTTATGTGATGTGAGCTTTGTTCAAAGTCAATAGCCACTCATAGACTTTAGAAAAATAATCCGTTTTTATTTTCATATATTCTTTTAGCCATAGGCATAACAAAATTTGTCATAAATGATATTTTTGAAAGTAGTAATAGAAATGGTTGTATTTAAGAGGAAAATAAGTTCCTATAAAAATATAATAGTATTTTGTTAATTCTTTTAGAGTTCATCAATTTATTAGCATGTCTACACTTGCTGTCACCACCATTTCCAGCTCATACTGCTTTCCTTTCAATTAGAATCATTTTTTTATTTCGATTTGGTGTCTCTAATATCAGGTATTTTATCTTCTTGTTGCTTTGTATTCCTTACTTTTCTACGCGATTTGAGAATCGTTTCTTTTTGAAGAACTTGTAATATACTGTGCATTTAAATATTTATGAAAGAATAATAAAACAATCCTAGATTTTCAAAATGGAAAAGCCTGACTAATTGGAAAAGTGATGATTCACAGGTGATGGAGCCAGGACAATCTACTAGCTCTAAGAATATTGAAAAGAAAAGAAAAATTGTTTACAGAAAATATAATCAGAGTTATTTATCATTTGAGTTTACTTGGAATGGACCCTCAACCTCAAGGTGTTGTTTCCGGTGAACTATTACCTAATCAAAGTATGAAACCATCATTTCTTAAAAGACATCCTGAATCTAATCATACCAACCTAAAGGATAAATCTTAAGAATATATTAAGAAGAAATTATTGGATTTGAAAAATAGTAAACAAGTGATAAAAGGTGTTGTTACTTCAAGTGAAAAAGCTTTGGAAGCTAGTTACCTAGTAAGCCTAAGAATTGCCAAGACTGGGCAGGCTCACACTATTGGAGAAAACCTCAGATTACCGGCAACTAAAGCTACCGTTTTAACATTATTCAAAGAAAAAGTGGCTAATGAACTTGATAATATTCCGTTATTAAATGATACAGTAAGTCAACGAATACATGAAATGACAAATTCCATAAAAGAGACACTTATTCAAAAAATAAAACACAGCGAGAATTTTGCATTACAATTGGATGAAAGTATTAGCATAACGAACTTTGTTCAATTATTAGTTTACATACTTTCCGAAGAAGATAAAAGAGTTTCCGAAGAGTATTTATTTTGTGAATCTCTTCCTCATAGAAGAAACTCAAATGAAAATTTCACAATCATTTACAAGTTTATGTCTGAGAATGATATTCCTTGGAATAAATGCATAGCGTTATGTAGTAACAGAACTCGGGCTTTAACAGGAAAATATGGCAGTGTTATTTCTCGAACAAAAAATATACTCACTGTTTTATTCATCTTGAAGCTTTAGTAGCCAAAACAATTCCCAAAAACCTGAAAATCATTTTGAATCAAAGCTGGGAAAATTGTAACTTTTATTAAAAGTTGAGCTTTAAATTCAAAAACATTTACGAATCTATGCCAAGAGATGGTCAAGTGAAAATTAAATACTTTTCTTTTTAATATTCTGAAGTAAGGTGGTTTATTCAGAAGTAAAGTTTTAAATCGTTTTTTTGAACTCCAATCAGAAATTCAAATTTTCCTCCGTCATTCAAAATTTGAATTGCAAAAATGTGTATTTAGTGAATTATGGTTGGAGAGTTTAGCATATTTAGCTAATATTTTTTGAAAGTTAAATTAATAAAACTTACAATTAGAAGGAGAAAGTGTTCATTTGTTTACCAGTAGAGAGAAAATAAATACAATGATAAAAAAATACTTGAGCTAATAATCTAGGAATTATATATTTTAAGCTTTACGACCTTTAGAAAGTTTTCTAACCGAAAATAATTTGAAAATAAAAGAAGAATTAGCAACTGACATTAAAAATCATTGTTTTTCATGGATAAATAATTTCTACATGTATTTTCCCGAGGATTATGAAAAAGAAAATTGGATTATAAACCCATTTTGTCCAAATGTACCTGAAATTTTATCTCGTGAAGAAATAGAACAATTGATAGAAATTTCCTTTGATCGAACTCAAACTGATGATTTCAAAAATAAGACACTTGTTAACTTTTGGGTGAAATGATAAAAAGAATTTAGGCATTTCAAATAAAGCTATTAAATTTTATTGCCTTTTTGCAGAACATCTTTGTGCGAACAAGGATATTCTTCCATGTTACATTTGAAAAATAAATACAGAACAAAATTAAAAGTGATTCCTAGTATACGATTGAAACTAAGTGAAATAAGACCAGACATTAAAAAAATTGATCTCTCTTAAATATGTCTAAATTTCACATTAAATTTTAGAATTAAAATGCAACTTGAATTTTGATAATTAAAATAGTAACCAATTTTTAATCGAACATTTTTAATGTGTGCATATTTAATACAAATGGACAATAAGTTGTGCGAATGGCAAATTATATACCTGTTTCTTAAATATTTCTACCAGAAATTGAAAAATAATCATTATAAAGCATAGTGGTGGTGCTAAAGGTTTTCAGTTTTTGCTTAGATGGTACGCATTAGTCAAAGTTTGGAACCACTGGGTTAGAGCTTTTAAAGATCATCGTACGAATGTTCATGATGATGAACAAAGTGGGCGACCTGTCATTACTGAAGATTTGGAGCAGAGCATTGATGAATGAGCGAAATGCAATAAACGCTTTATGATTTCTTCATTACATGAAGACTTTCATTGGGTTTCACGCAGTGTTTGTTCTGTATGAAATTGTAAGCGCGTGCTTAAATTATCAAAAATTGAGCACAGCTCGGGTAAAAAAATTTTGACAAAGTTGCACAAAAACAAACGTTTAGTAGCACTTTTATAGTCAGTGGTACAGTAAGAAAGCTGATGATTTTTAAGCCAAATTATCACAAGTGAGAAAACCTGGGTGGCTTATACTATACCAGAACGGAAGCAGCAATCCATGGAATGCTGGCATTCATCATCACCCAAGAGAGTAATTCAAGCAAACAATTTCAGTCCAGAAAATCATGTGTGCTGTGAAAGGTGTTGCTTGTGAGCTTTTTTGCATCATGGTGCCATAATAAATCATATGATGTATTGCGAGACCTTAAACTGTATCATGCAATCCAAAACAAAAGGCATAGCATGCCAAGTAGAGGAATCGTTTTCTTCATGACTATGCCTGTCCACGTGCGACTAAACAAACTCAAGATCTCATCGTGTTATATCACTTTGCAAACATCTTTATCATAGCGCCCAGTGACTTTCACCTGTTCCTGCACTTTAAGAAGCATCTGGCTGGTCTTTGCCACCATGAGGATGATGAGGCCAAAACAAACAGCTTGCAATGGGTTTCAAATCAGTTGGCAGACTTCTATAAAGAGGGGATTCAAAAACTGGTTCTTTAATACGATGTGTGCTTTAATACTGGCAGAGATTACATAAAAAATAGACTCAACTACAGGCTTTCATGTAAAAAAAATTGGTAAGATAATTATACTTGTTTCTGTTTCATTTCCAAATAGTACTTACTTTAAAAACATGCCTGAAGAAATTGATTTCTCACCAATGGCTATGCCTTAACTGCATCGGAATTTTATATGCAGGTCTTTAATTTTAAAAAATTCAGTTTACATTGCATTCCCTCAATGAAGATCTTATATTAGTACCCACACATATCAAATGTAGTATTAGGTGAATATTTTCGCCTTTATAAAAATTCAAAAAACAAAAAGTATGTTGAGTAATTTTTTTTTTCCAATAATGATTGAAGAAAAGTGCATAGATATTTGCTTTATTTCAATAGTTATCATTTAGTGTCATGAATCGAACACATTTGAAACTTATTCCATAACAACAAGTCTTATTTATTTCAAACTATACAAGCATTTATTTTAATTCTTCAACACATAATGATAAAACATACAATAGTAAACATTCAAAAAATATACAAGACATACCAGAAACCTTCATTACTAATAATTGAATATACATAGCTTAGCTGTACATATGTATTCATAAAAAGTAGATATACAAAGGATTTGAGCAACAAAAGGCACTAGAACACACATATACCACAATTTACTTAAATGATACAAGGAAAGAACTTCATGTATAGGTGGTTAAAACAGACAGTACAGGTGCAAGCTTTAACATCTAAAAAAGAAATGAAAAATCAGTAATTCAAATGAATTTAATTCTACAGAAAACCATTACATAGAAAATTCATTCATTCAAGTTATTAATCTAAAGAGAAATAATACTTTTCTTAATATATGAAAATAAAGCCACAATAATAATAATTAATGCTGATTTGAATCTTAAAAAGGCGAAAAAACATAATGTGCATCTTCTTTCTCCAGGATATATTGCTGAACACAGGATTCACTGCAGAATTCTTTATGAGAAACATTCGGACAAAAAAGGAAAAATGCTGTCACAATAGACGAATCTTGGTTGTGTTTAAATGATCACAATAAAAATAGATCCATTTATTATCAACAAACAGAAAAAAATCTTAAAACACCATTCAAGGAATCTAGAGAAAGTTTTTGTAAGAGATTTAAGATATTTGCTAGTTTTTCATATAATGGAAATTAAAAATAAAAAATCTGATGTTGTGCACCATGACTTCTTTGTACGGAATATTAAAGTATACACATTTGTTCCTGCATTTCATTTAAACTTATTGGATTGAATTAAATCTACTTCACGATTAGCACAGAAATCAAAATGAATAAATGCACTCTTAAAATTCACTATATTTGTTATCATTAAATCTACTTCGTCGATAGCACATTAAAAAAATAGGTATGCACTCTTTACAATTCACTATATTTGCTTACCATAGCGACACTGGCCTAGGTTCACTTACAGTGCTACATTTCAAAAATTTTTAATCAGAATGCACAAAATTTAATCATCTTAAGAATCTAATCGTGCCAATGTTCTATTCAAATACTATAATAAATCTAAAATGATGTATAAAAGGAATTAAGCAAACAAAAAAAATAGTTTTTCACAGAGGATTCAGTATTTCTCATTCAATTAATTCAGTTCTCATTTTGTGACAAGGCAAAAATACATAAAAACTTAAAATGTCTGTATTGAAAATTAAGAAGTAAATCTTAAACAATTATTTCCTCGAATAAATTCCAGAATGGATTAAGCACGATTTAATTCGCAATAAGAAGGTGTTATCTTTGTTGTAGCAAAGCTTACTTTCACTAGATTGGCAACAAATCTACTATTCTGTTGTTTCAAACATAAACAAGCAATGGCTGACATGGCAAAAATTATTAGGCTTAGCAGCACTTAAACCCCTTCATGCCGGGTAATGCAAACGCGCACTTATCGCGGAGGCCGGCAGTGTCTTACGCGAGTGTCTGTCCAGGGAGTGGGGCTTTTTTGCTATTAAGCCTAAATCCACGAAATTTCCGAAGTATCAACGCATTGTTTAATAATTCTCTATAGAGTATTTAAACGGCTTATGCTTTATAGATATTTTTAATAACTTAATTCTTATTTTTGTTAAATGCAATATTTACAATTTATTTCATTACTCACCAATTTATGACTTTAAATTATACGTCTGAAAACTAAATATATTACTTAAAATTCTCTTTCGTATGAAAAATTTGAAAAAAAAGGGATCCACACACAGCCTACGTTACATTCCTTGTACCGTAATAACTCATTTGCCGTTTTGGAGAATTTTTTTCTGGCAGATACAAAAGAAGCATCGTCGTCTCTTTTTATCATCTCTTCTGAAAAAATTTTGGAAAATATTTTCAGTTAAGGAGTGGACTAATGATTGTGGTTTCTTATAATACTCATCAAAATTGTTAGAGCAAAGAAAACAAACAATTCTCCATTGTAAGGTAAATACTGAAAGAGAAGTTGCTCAGATTCACCCAGGATATTTATCCTTTGATACAATTAGTCTCTTCAGAATTATTTAATTATTGTATCATCAAAATAATACCTAAGAAATTCAATTTTCTTCAACCAATTATCACTTTAATTCCAGGAAACTTTAAATGGTAATTCCGATAATTTTCTATTGGGGATGACCATGGAGAAGTACTGCTTTCGACGTACTCGCCATACAGAGTCCGAAATCTCATCATCTTAGATTCGCCAGATTCTTATGATCAGAATATATCATTATCACTATCACTTATCAGAATCTGTTTTCAGAATCAATATCTGAAATAATTTTGCAGCATTTCTGCTATTTCATGCTCTGTTAACATTTTCGACGCTTCAAATTGCAACGGTTAAAAACGAAAGAATTCACATCTAACAAGATCTAATATTTCTAAAAACTGAACTGCAAACTGAAATACCCAACGCTTTAGCAAAATAAACTTCTCTACTTACAATAAACAATACCACGGGCGAATTTAAGAGACTTAAAGCACGCCATTCGGAAAACATTATTTCCCTTTTGTTTATATAATCAAACACGTGTATGCGCGTTAGTTATGCTTCTTCATTTCGAGTAGAAGGCTAATGTACATGTATCTGAAACTATATGGACATACAGTGTCATCTTGTGGCAGAAATTATAGTTTTTAAAACATTCCAGGACACTGGCACAAATACGTGACAGTCCGGGCTGAACGGAAAAACGCTCTGGCATGCCTGCGTTTCGGCCGGGAAGTGTATGTGCCAGTTGGCACGAAGGGGTTAAACAACTTTTAAATTGTTGAAAATTCTAAAATTAATGCATACAGATTTACTAAAGGCAAAAAAACCTTAACCGGAAGATAAGAACAGCATAATTCAATAATTCTTAAAAGCAAAAAAATGCACAAATTGAATAAAGAAATGATATATAATAGAACAGTGGATATATATATATATACATACATATATTTTGGCGCGGTAGATTGCAACCAAAATACGAGGTGCACATCTACATGTTATAGTAGTCCTATTTACAAAATTTCAACATTCTGAGGCTACTCATTTTTGAGTTATGTGAGATATGCACATACGTACACACAGACACCACGAAAAATTATCTTAAAAATTCATTTTCAATTAGTTTTACAATTTTTTTTGGAGGGAAAGAGTCCTTTATTCTGTCCTTATGTATAGATGTTAACCACAAGCATCATTAAATTGCACTCGATAGCGGTGAAAATGGATATTTAACATTGAAATACAATGCCTGGAACTTTCCGTGATTACAATACTTCCTTTATACTTCGTACAAGGAAGTAAAAAAGTGGTGAAAAATGTTAAGATCAACTCTACATATTATCAAAAACATATTTTATACCCAATTTTCAAATATGAAATACCTTCATTTTAAACACAGAGTGATCATTCGGTAGAACTGAAAAAAACAAAGCACAAAATCTACTGCTAATTTCCTGGGAAAAAAAATGGAACAAGAAAGGGGTATCAAGGCCATACTCTTCATTCATATCCCTACTAAATCTCCTGATCTATCAACTGATTTTTTACGCTTGTGGACTTAAAAAGCAGGTTGTCCGAATGTCAACCTACAACCTCCTTAGACTTTGAAAAGTTGTTCAAAAGCAATGGGATAAAATACCTCTACAACTATCTTCATACACCGTCTTGGAAATTACGATGTATGAAGATAAAAAAAAGAATAAGAATTATCAAATAGAATATTTAAAACAAAAATTTTAGGTAAAATATTTCTGTAATTACAATGAAAAATCGTCTAAAAAATGTGCGAACAGCCTCTAATATACAGCATAAGAAATGTCCGATTCATTGCAATACCAATACAAATATTCATAAAAATGAGCAGTTAGATACATTATAAATTATAATTTTACAAGATATTTTAGAAAACATGTAACAAAATGGAATGTAACAAATTTGGAAGGTTAGGAGAAACAAAATTTCATTGAAACAGTCAGTACACTTTCATTCAGAGATAAATAAGTCAGCTATCACTTCCAGCTTGATGAATGGAAGAACACCAATAACTTATTATTGACGATATTTTCTCTATATATCACCATACTTAAAAAAGCCATCAATTTCTTCTCATGGCATCCTGTGAAATCTATTGTGTACAAGAAGCTTATTACATACCTCCAACTACCTTTAAACAACATTATTAGCGTTTACTGTGAAGTACCTCTTGCAAGATATAATATGGGACAGCTGCATGTATATACACTGTCAGCTGCATTATTATGCATGTAAAATAGCACCTACTGTATAATATAACATATTTTGCATGTATAATATAAAATAGCACTTAAGGATGTTTGTTTGTTCGGTTTTTGGCACACAACCTGAAAAGATATTTGCGCCAGACGCATATCAGTCCTGATTTTAAATAAAAGTTTAAAACCAAGACATAAAAATGAGATACATAAAGATGAAAAGTATATAACGATGAGATGATTACAGATGTCAAGATCAGTTAAATACAAAGTGTTAAAACAAAAAGTTAAGAATGTGTGTTAAAATACAAAGGAATATTCTAAAACATGATTCAGATTAAATAATAAAAATCTGACTCTAGCAGGTAATGAAATAAATTAGTGCTGACCTCTTTTCCAATTATTCAGTCAAGAGGTAAGTCACAGCTGTTAAAATGCTTCATATGAAGTCTGTTAAGTTTAGGGCATCGAGTTAAAAAGTGATGAACTGTTAAAACAGCATTACAATTGGGACAGATAGGTTTGTTTTCACCTTTTAAAAGATGATTTTGGGTAATACGACAAAGACCAATTCTAAGGGAGTTAAAATTACCTCTAGTTCCCAGCAGCCTCCCTATATTCAACTTTATCCTTGATGCTTCGTAACTTGTTATTTACTTGAAGTTTCCAAAATTGCTGCCATTTATTTATGACCTTGTTTTTGATGACCATGATGATGTCTCTAACTTGAACAAAACCCAGCAGAGAAACTCACAGCAGATTTTGAAGTAACATCTGCCAGTTCATTTCCCTCACCTATGTGCCTAGGCACCCAGCAGTAAAAAATAGTTAAATTCAAATGCCATCCACGAATATTTAAATTCAAATGCAATGTTGAAATTTCAAGTTGGAGAATTCTGGGTATCAATAAATGCCTCAAGAGCTTTTAGTGCACTATACAGGTGAGAATAAATAATAAAACCTTTTCTGAGTTAGTTTTGATATATATAAAAGGACACAGTATACAGAAGTCAACTCCACAGTAAGCACCGAGCAAGCCTCATGCAAATGCTTTATTTCTTAATGATTTACCGCTATAAAAGAGGATACAACATGACTGGCTGTTTTTGAGCCATCAGTGTATATGGGAATGTAGCCACTATATATTTGGCTATGCTCAAGAAAAAGCTGTTTATAGTATCGTATTGTTTTTATTCAAATGATGGAAAACATTAAGCAGCTGGATTTGTGAATTTTCCCAAGGTGCAATGTCAAAATGCTTTACTGTCTGGGAATTCAAGCTAGTTAGAAGATGTTATTCAATCAATGGCCAGACTCTTAGGAGGAAAGAAGGCACACAACATGGTCGTGCTTCAAACAAGTAAAAAAAAAAAAAGTCACGGTGGTGTAAAGTGGTGTTGCCAGGATGTCCAGGCTATGATAGTTTATTAAGATAATGACTAATAAATAACTGCTTACGCCTTAACTGGAGAGATGGCTCAAATAAGTCAATATACAGACTCTGAACGGGAGACATCCTAAATGGCCCAGAACATATCCGGAGAGCCTGGTGGCGAACAGGTTCAAGTTTTGACAACATAGAAGGTCATGCCTCGTGCTCAGCCATAGTCCAGTTTTGAATGCATTAAAGCCCTGTAAACACTAAACACGGAGCATAGCACAGTGATCTGCCCCCCCCCGAACGTGTTCGACAATACTTTTAGGAGGTTCAGAGTTTTAAAGCATTTCTTTCTTAAGTGAAGCATGTGTGGAACAAACCATTCTAATACTGTTTTCTTTATCTAACTTCCTGAATATGCAATGTTATATTGTCACAGTTTTGCTGTATATGTTACAAATCACATCACTCCAATATTAAAAAAATAAAAAATATTAAGCACATTTTATTGCTTTTAAAACATTTGGCTGTTTAATGACTATGGTTATAATTCAAAATAACTCTTAATTTAAGATAGTGTAAAACACCTAATAACAACACAAAAACATGCTATTTGCCAGGAAAAATTGGAAGCTAAATTAAAGATCTTGTATCTTAAATGGCAATACTTGCTGTGCTATAGGGAAAGTAATGCCTTGTAAATGTAACATGATTTAACGGCCCAAAAAACTAGTCATTTGAAAACCTTACAATCTTTCAAAATGTTCTAAAGATTTTATGTTGTTCTGGCAAAAAAGTAACATTACACAAATCTGCAGAAATATTATTCAGCATTTCTGCAAGCTAATACACATTTTTCAAGTTTTAAGAAGAGTCTATGATAAATTCAGAGTCTTCTTATTCAGAAATAAAATAATATTTATGAGTCATACCTTTAGAACTAAAGACGATGAATGGTTTTATGATCACGCAGAGGTTTTAATTTGTCCAAGTTATCCCAATAATTAGGCAGGAAAGACTTTGCAATGAGTTGAAACCAAGGAGTAATTTTGTAGCCTTTGTTCTTCATTCCATCTAATATAAAGAGTCTATTATGAGCAATTATATGAATAATTATCACACTATACAATATGAAAAGAAAAATTACAAGGCTAATAAAATTTACCACAACACATACTAAAAGCTACTACTTATGAAATAGATAGGAAGAGAATAAAGATCAAGAAGTCCATAATGAAAGGATTTTTTTTTTTTTTTTTATTCTTTTTAAAAAATTTCAAAGAAGTTATTCAGAACACTGCTTAGAGATACACAGCAAGCAAAATCACATGTCAACATATTATGATTTCATGCTATATACAAATTAAAGCAAAATTGCCTACTTTATTGATTGTACATAATTAGTATAAAGCACATACATTATGTTTCGTTATTGAAAAAGTTTATAAATTGTTTGTATCTTAGATGATTAACTCCAACTTTTCTTCCTTTAAAGCACCTTTCAGTTCTGTAGAGCAGCTTTCTCAGACTGGCAGTCTCCAAAGCAATATTTTGCAGAGCACATATGCATTTCAATTATATATTTTTTTTTAAGCATGGTACTACAGAGATTTCAAAAATTTAGATATTTGAAGTCAGTTTGCATTATTTTCATTACCATTAAAACCAAACATGGATAACAAACTAGAAAAATCCACAATTGGAGCTAACTAATTTACATTGTGATATAAATCTCATTTAAAGATTTGAAGACATAGATTTTCCTACTTTTATTCATACTTATTAAAAAATAGAAAATCCCAGATAGGAATTTTTGCACTAAAAAATGCTTCATTTTGTAATACATATTTATATATGAAAATGCAAACATCTTTTTTTTTTCACAGTTGATAATTAGTAAAAAATGAACCGAATTAACTAATGAGCATCTGCAATCCATATTGAAGATAATTTCTAGGAACTTCTCTCCAAAGTTACAACTTTATATTAACACTGTTAAGTGTCAAGCTGTAGTATAATTAGTGTAGTACAAGTGCTATAATTATTTACATAACACAAATACATTTTTAATTAAACATTGAGATGAGAAACGTGATAAATAAGAGAAAATTGATAAATAAGTGAAACAGACTAAGTCATTATTTATTCTCAAGTTTTGTTCCAATTGGTAAAGTTTCTGAGAAAACTTGAAAAGTTTTAAAAATTTGTTTTAGTTTAAAGCAAATTATTTAATAAATAAGTAAACATGTTAGAATAATTTGAAATAAATTATGAGTTTGAAAATTTAATATTTGGTTGTCAATACATTTGAGCCTGCAAACTATAGTAACCAGGAAATGTTTTGCGATACTGCTTGCTTCAGATGCAAAATAAATATAAATTTGAATCTGAATTTTTTCCTTTCTGATACTATTTATTATTTATATATGTTTTGATAAATATTTAGCAAAATGAAATTTAAAATAATTTTATTATGTTAATATAAAATTATTATTTTGTTTAAAAATATAGTTCTAACTGATTAGCTATTTTTAGATTATGCCCACATGCAAATTTGAGTTTGAGACCATTTCTGCAAAGTGCGATTCCAAAATATTTTAGTGCATCATTTCTTGAGAAATAATATGGCTTTGAATATAAGTTTAATATTTCTAGGGCACTTCTCATACACAAAATTTAAATTGCCTCATATAAAGTTTAAAGGTGCAATATTCAGTGTTCTAAGGAACACTAAATCTGGTATATTAGCAATAAATAATAAAACCAACTGATATGAATGATTACAATCAACCAGCTACTGTAATTATAACAGTTCAATCTAAATTTCTAGTCAACTTCATTCTGGGCATTATATACATTCACTACTGTATTACTCTATATAAATATATGCATATAGATGCATAACAAACACACACAGATCTGTGCTATATTATATGTCATAATATATCCAGAATTTCATTTATTACTTAAGCACAGTAAAATCCCAACTACCCAGTATTTAACTAACTTTAATTTGGGAGAAAAATTTAGCAAATGAGAGATTTGCAACACCATTATAGAGCTCGTAATACTATTAATATATATACATTATAGCCAAAACAGTGTGATTTACCACCAATAATGGATAAACATGACACCCCAACACATTCACACGTTCATTTGTTTAAATGTACATTCAATTAATTCTCAAAAAGCCAGTTTAAAATTTGCAAAGGAAGATGCAAGTTCTATTTTTCTTAGCATTTTGATAAAAAATATATTAATATTTGGGACTGCATGAAGTGGAGTATTTTCAAAGTTCTGAGCCTAGAAAAAACACCCGTACATTACTTAAAAAATGGACAAACGGTGTTCATGCAACACGAAAAATTATGATAAGCAATTTAAGTTTTTATGTGCTATACTGTAATTTGTATCTCCTTATTAAGCAAATACTTCTGCTCATTTAAACTTCTAGAATGATCGCCGACATACATATACCATGGTACTCTTGTTTCACATTACTTGCTTAGAGGTGCTGTGGGTTTTGCTCTTATATAGATGAAAGTGTATCATGCTCTTGGAGAGCTTTTGGAGGGTGAAGATATTCAATGCATGAATTGGCATGCAAAGTCAATGAATCTAAATCCCATAGAATATGTTCGGGACCTTCTCAAGGAAACATTTGGCAGCATATGAACAGCTACTAGTAATGATCCTGCAGCTGAAACTGGCACTACAAGAGGAATGGGGAATGATAACCTCAACAGCTCCTCAACTACCTTGTCTTCCACATAGAAGAAGAACGTTGCAACTCCATTATCCAAGTCTGGTGATTCTATCCCCTTCTAAAGAATATTTATTTATTTATTTATTTGGCTAAGGTCTGTCACATGGATGTTCTTGTCTTCTCTCTAGTTCTGCTCACACAGCTACTTTTCTCTAGTTCTGCTCACACAGCTACTTTTTTTAATAAAAAGCTCTTTTGACCTTTTGATTTTTTGTTTGGATGGTTTTACTCACTTATCCCAGATTTCCACATTTTGTGCATATATATAGGAAAATTTCAAGCAGAACCATGCAACCATGCAAAACAAAATTATCAAAAAAATTTTATTACCTTTAGCAACCTGTAAAAGATAAGAAAAATATAAAGCATTCATAAATTGAGAAAAGTTGACATTCCAGTAATATCTTGTTTCAGCCATGTCATGTCAATCAATCAGCCATGTCAATCTTTGTATTTGATCATTATTGAATAAAACATGCTTTGCAAACCAAAGAACTTAATATGCTATAGGCAATTGATATAGCCTTTGGCAACACTTGTCATAATTCTATTGCACTTATTAATCATTACTACTCAATCATACGCAATATCATCTAAGGCTATTTCGATCATCATAAGGATATTTTGTTTTCCACAGCCCCCTTTCCTACTAAAAATAATATCAATAAACAAACTGTGGATGATTTTGCTTTTTTAGAATACTTCAATGTGAATTGCTAAAACATCACACCTATAAAATTATGTAAACATTTACATAGTCTGACAGGAAATGAACCAAAATGAAACAACTTAAGTTTGGCCAAAATATCTATCTTTTAAAAACATCTTCAATCAACATAAGTACGATAATAATTTTAATAATTTTATACGTTTTCTAAAAGTAGTTGTGTCCAATTTAATAGAAATATGTTACAGCACAATCAGTCTTTTCATATGATAAATGTTGAATAAAACATAAAATGCTAGCAAGATCCATCACACATACCATTTAAATTTTCATTTTATAGAAACATCCATAATTATTTTTGAAGGAAATAAAACAATATGTCATGGATGCCCTGTATGTATCAAATGTTCCTTTGATACACTTGGGATACAGTAATAATTTAAACTAATCTCATGATGTAAGAAATCAAAATTTATAATATAAGAAAAAATATAACATTTTACCTAGGAAACCTTGGAGATCATTTCGGGCTACATATACACATTCCTTCACTTCATTTGGGTTAGGATTAAGTTCAATATCTTTTTTAAGAACGAGGATGTAATCTATTTCTCTCTCTCCCCACTGGTCATCAGATGGTGCTGTGTACATAATTCTAGTCATATACAAGAAATCTTCAGGTGCGACCTATAAAAATATTATCTATTCAGAAAACAAAGCCACATAGTTATCTGCAATTAATTATGTCATACCCTGAACTATCATTTATTTAGATCATACTAAAATATTTATCAAAAATCTATGTAATCTAATCTCTAAGGCAAATGAAAGCTATACCCAAAATTATGGCAGTATTTAAATCAAGAATGCCATTACAGTATAGATTCAAATGCATGTTTCTCTTTCCTTTGAATGATTTTCTTTCATGTTTCATTCCATAATTAAGTTAAAAACAGTGGTATTTTACATGCCACAATTTAATAGAGAATACTTTCATCTTATAATCTGCACTTAATGACTGTCAAACAATTATACAGGTTAATAAAATCATTTTCAGTGCAGCTCATCAAGTGAACGATTTTATTAGTTCCATGACTTATAATCTAAGTTTTCAAAGAATGCAATAACTGCATTCAAAATAATATGAATCAATGCATTTTTACTTTTTTAGTGAAATTTTATTAACACACAAAAAATTATACCTATATGAAAGTTTAGTTCATATTTTAGGCCTGTATTTTAACTCCAAAGTTAGGAAACTTCTCAACTCCCTTCTTTTCCAATAACTGTTCAGATTTTAATATAACATATATATTACATGACATTCTATTAAAAAAGACTTCATGATTCCTTCCAAATATTGTTTGTTAAGCATATTTCAGATGAAATATTATCAGTTAAGAGCTATATAATTAGACTACAATGAATAATGAATGATTATATACAGTGGACTTTTAATTTGAACTTGTACAAAAGAGCAAAACTGTTCAAATCATTCCAATGTGGAATAAATAGTATTCCTGAAAATCAATTTTAAAATATAAAAAAGATAAAATTTTCTAAATTATGTCATATTTGTAAACACATGTATAACTATATTAAGTATATATATAAAAGTGTTACAAAAAGTACTGACCAGTAGTTTTCTGTTCACCCCTATTAATTTCAGACATTTAAAAAGTTTTGCAATTTGTAACAATTTTATGGTTAATGACAGCTGAAATGGAATGCATGTATACAAACACTTAATAGACTCAGTAAGTGCTTCTCAGGTGGTAGTAAATATACTCGAAATCATGGACAAATTCTTCAAAATTAGATTTGTTTTTCTCATTTCAAAGACAATTTTAACAATTTCTTCATCACTTACTTTACAAATTTCCAAATCACTGCTGTTTGAGACATTAGATTGTAAAACTTAAAAGTAGGACTCCTTGTGACGTTTCTCCTTTTCCTTATTGGGTTTTCCATTCTGTAATTTATGGAAAGGTAAGTAAATCCAGTAAAGTTCTTCACTTTTACTGCAGATTCCACAGTCTCGAAGCATTCAAATCAGTGAAACCAATCGAACAGTTAAGTCATAATTTTTAATCTACTGAAATAAAACCTATGACTCTTATGATAATGACTTCAGATTTTGATTATACCTTCATTAATAATAGTATTATGTACAGCCTTATTAAAGGACTTTCAAAAACATCTCGGCCACAGTCACATTACATAAATGGAAAATCAACCATGCAACCAGCCCATTCGCCTGGGCTTGAACACAGGTCAAACTAGCAGTATCTAACGAGCTTAACTTACTCAGCCACTGGCAAAACTTTGGTACTTTGGTACGAGTGGGAAGCCATATGAAAACTTAGAAATTGCTGTAATTGATCTTCTCTAATAAAGGAATGATCAGAAGTAACTTTCAAAAACTTTCCATGAGCTATTAAACTCATGAACTCCAAGGTTTCAGATAAGTGTCATTTTCAACAAACGTCTACTCTGCATATTTTTTCCCTACAACCATAGTGCGCCTACAATTTGCATGAACATTTAAAAAGCAGTAAGCTTTAAAGAGCTCCATGTTCCAAACTCACAAATGAAAAGAAATTTTGTGAACGTCACAGAGATTTTGTGAAACTCATAAATGAAAAGAGATTTTGTGAACGTCACAGAGATTTTGTGAAACTCACAAATGAAAAGAGATTTTGTGAACGTCACAGAGATTTTGTGAAACTCACAAATGAAAAGAGATTTTGTGAAACTCATAAACGAAAAGAGATTTTGTGTGTGAGACTAGAAGCATGGAAAAGGAGAACAAAGATACTGCCACTATTCTAATAGAAACTGTTCGGTTGCAATGCATACATTAATCACCAGGTGTTATATGTTCCTATTAAAAAGAGTGCAAAATAAAAGGTGCTATAGAAAAAAAGAATAATAATCAAAAACTTTTTTCAGGAAGGAAATTAAAAAATAAATATTTGGAATAAATCCAGGACATTTAAGATATTTTATCAAAAACAAAAATAATGGTAGTCTTATGTTAAAACCATAACTAGTTTCTTTTCATGTTTGATTGCCATGCTGGTTAGTTTGTTAACTGAATGAGGCAAAGCAAAAATAGATTATTAGCCTAAAAAGATGACTTTCTGAGAGAAACTGGATTTTTTTTATATCATAACCCCATGCAGCCACACATTTCACATGAATATGAATCAAACTACAAGTATTTAGCTGTTTATTCTCTCAACCCGATGCTTGACATACCTCTGTCACAGAACATGTAAAATTTTGGTACATACTTTAGTCACAGCAATATCTATATGCTGGAAAAAAGTAATAATGAATAATTTATATATACATTGGACATTTATTTTTAATTGTTTTTCAATCTTTTATAAGTACCTGTATGGGTTAAAAAGCCATTTAGTTTCTTCTCCAGAACAGAATTTATTAAAACTTACACTGGCTGGATCAATTCCTAATTCGATGCCTAATCTTCTCTGAGCAGCTCTTTTAACTCCAAGAGCCTTAATTTCCTCCAATTCAGATGCAATATACAATGGATGACTGCAGCAGGTATTTGTGTAGTAGCCTGTTAAACAGAAAATTTTATAAATTAAAACATTGCATACTTATCCGTTCAAAATACAGAAAGGAAAATGGCAGTATTAAACTACACTGAAATCTGCAGTAGAAAAAAAGCATAATTATAGAATCCTGCATTAAATTGTAACAAATTATTTATATTTAGTACTTTTAATTACACAGTAAAAATTTTATTTCATCCAACTTATCACAATTTGTGGTATTTAAAAAAAAAATGGAGGGTCAGGGTAAACCACTTTACATAATAGCTTGTTGGTTTTCATTTCATTACAATTTGATTTTCTGAATTCAGAATCCTTCATAAATTATGTTTAATTTAATTACTACACATAAGAGGTTACATGAAAAAATGTTTCATATGGTGGATTCATATATTCAACATCACAAAAATATCAGTTTTTAATTCTTTACAAGTAAAATAAGAATCTGTTTTATTTACCTTTTCTTTTTCCTTTTTTTTAATAGAGTAAAAAGAAGAAAAACAAGTGTCATGTACAGTACACTCCCGATTATCTGCGGAATTGGGTGGCATGGCCGCCGCGGATAACAAAAATTGTGGATAATTCGAAAAAAGCTAAAAACGGGTATAGCAAAAGAGAAAACAGTCATTCCAACTTTGAAAAATCGTTTTATGTACAATAAAACATAAAATAAACAGCAGGAAATGTTTAACTAATGCTTTATATTTTAGTATATCACTCAAAACTAATCCTCCCACAACTCAAAACTAATTTCCCACCACTCCCACACTTACACACATTTTTCTAATTCTTTTCCCCCTGCTCTGCTTTTGGCAATTTCTTTATTCTCATTATCCACATTTTACTGCAATCTTCCTCATCAGAAATATCTTATTTCAAAGCATAAAAATATTGATGTTGCTACTGCTAACTAAGCTTAACAGAAACTGTGCATGTCTCAGTAATGTCCATTACCATTAGCAAGAATGTAAAAATTTTGAATATTATAGAAATAATTTCTAGGTGAAAATTGGCACGTTTTATAATAGGAATAAATCTCAGTTTGTGAAGTCTAAAAGAATAAGGGAAGGGCTAATTTTCTGTGAAACCACAAAATGTAACAGCTACCTATCATAAGAAGGACAAAATGTTAATGAAAATGGGAAAAGCCTTCAATTTTTTATTCATCTTTAGCTTCTAAAGAAGATTATCCTGAAGACCCTTAGATCATTTCTTCAATTTCATACAAGCATACCGTCATCATAATGTCTAGTCTATACTGTTATCATATTGCCTCTGATCATTGTAAATATTGTGCGATCATCACATAATTATAGGTGTTGTTAAATCCTACAGTAAGTTAATATCTTTTTCCAAACATACAATTTCTTTCTTGTATGTTATGTACAAATATATATACATAATTTTCACTGTAAAATTTGCAGCAATAAAAAGTATTTTGAAAGAAATGTTTTCCTTTTCCAACATTTTCTGAAACAATTCATTGCAATATACAGCTGCTTAAATCTGCTTAAATTTTTAGACTTCTTTACTTAATACATGCTAGTGAGAGAAATAGTATATTGCAATACAGAATAAATTTTTAAGAATATAATATATGAAGTAATATAAATACTACTACAGTGTAAAATAATATGTTACAGAAGTACAGTATATTTTATTTATAAATACTGATAATGCCTTGTGTCAAATTCATCAAGTTTCACCAAATTTATACATATAATATGAGTATTCTATTTTATACAGCATCTCCTATTATCTGCAGTCCTGGAATAAATTCCCTTCAGATCAGTATTATCGCCAGCAAGCTGAAAAATATTTTGTAAGAGTCACTGTACTTCATCACTTTCAAATAGTGTCTACAGATATCCAATGCAGATGAAATACTAGTCTACACAGAGAAGGATTTTCAGATCACAACAATGTTATTTGTACAAGCATAACACCATGATAATGATTTCAGTACGGATGCAGCAGAAGGAAAACTGGATGAATAAAAAATCTGGCAGCAGACCACAAAATGTAATATCATGGAATCCAGAATACCAGAGATCTCATCTGCATGGCAGGGCTAGATATGCATCCTCTTGTGTGTTAGTGTAACACTCTGATATTGACCATTTGTTGCACAGTAGACTACATACTTACATTCTTTTGTAGAGGATTTCCTTAACAATAAAGCACTGAAGTCTCAAACAAGGATGGTTTCATGAACAGATGGTGTTTTCTGATAAGTCCTATTTTTATCTGGATTACAATAATGGCTGTATATGTAAAAAATTGCAATGGTTTCATGAACAGATGGTATTTTCTGATAAGTCCTACTTTTATCTAGATTACAGTAATGGCTTTCCAGCATGTAATTTAGATCTTAAATAAATGAGAAGCATAGTATGTGATGACAGTTATGATAGATGTTCCTAGCTACTATGAATTACATGCACTATCAGCTGGCAACTGCTAAATCAAGAAAGTTAAGGCGAAGATCACCCCCCTTTTTTTTTCAACACACTTCTGGTGCTTGAACACTTCACCAAGCTTTCACAACCCAGCAGTAGATACCACTCCTTCCTGGACTTATCTTTAACAGACATGCCAACAACCGAACATGTCTGGGATATAGTTACTCATCATTTTTTTTCGAACAGTCAATATCACTGAGCTGTAGACTTGTACTGAAACAGACTGGCATACAGCACACCAAGGATACATCCTAATTCTTTTCAATTCAATGTTGCAACATAGATGGCTTTCAAAAATACTAATTTTGTACCAGCAATTTTGCTGCAATGATCTGAAATCACTCATTTGCATAATTTAACGTTACATATTCAAACTGGGAAAACTAGTAGTTATTAGATATAGTACATGTAACTAATCCAGTTCCAATCGCCAGTTCAACAAGGGTATCAGTTTTTGGAAGGCACAAACTAAGTAAGAATTAAATGAAATAATAATATAAAGCCAAATATAGCTTTAACATACTTCATTTACATCACGAGACAAGTGTATTCATTATCTAGATATGGACTGGATATTATCTGGATATTATCTGGATATGGAGGTGGGACAAAAATGCTGGGAACAAGGCATATATAACTATAATCATTACAAAATGCTTTTCTGAAGAAATACTAAAGCAGAAGGTAAATATATTAAAAGATGAATGTTTAAGAACAAATATATAAAAGTACAATCTGCTGTCTGAAAATCTTGAGGATACACATATTACATTTAAGGATTCAGAGCATACATATAGTATAAGAGCCAATAAGCAATATACAGTAATACCAATGAAAATATATATTTGATGATGCTTTACATTTTCATTTGATTATTTTTTTAGAACTTAAAACACAACGATTTATGTTCAATATTGTTCAAACTGCTTCAAATGAAAGTCCTTAATAACCGCATGCAACAATAAACAAGTGCTCCCATCTAACAAATTTATTTAGTATTTCTTATCATTGCACTACAGAATTCTGCACTGATAACAGAAAATGTGATCTATTGATCAACTAACCTGGGAAGGTAATTTTGGCATCAGATCTTTGTTGCAATAGAAGTTCACCTTTCATGTTGAAAAGAAAAACACTAAAAGCTCTGTGCAGTAAACCTGTAAAAAACAAAAAATTTAATGTTTTAATATGTAAAAAAAAAAACTGACCCTTCCTCAAGAAAAAAAAAGGGGGGGAAGGAGAATTTTTTGTATTTAGCATTACAAAAATGCAACTAACTTTTCTAAATGGACCTCAATCACAGGCACAGTTTTTCTGTTAGAACTTTTCTAAATTTTAATTTCATATGACAGCTAACCAGAAAAATAATTATATGACCAATTAATATAAAGTTTGGTCAACTAACAGTCAATAGCATAACTTTCTTGCGATGTAACTGGTTAGGTCAACTCCATAAAATCTCATTAACGGACACTCCTGCATTAGTGTATTAAAAAGGCATTTATTTTAAAAAATTATAAAATGAATATATTTTTACTAATTGAGCAGTTTTAAATTACATAATTACTGGATAACATATATTGTTTTTACGAAAAATAAATATTTTTACCAAGAATTTACAGTTTTGCTATCTTCAATTATTTTATTTTAATCACTTGATGCAATTTATGTCTTTACATAAATTTCTCAAAATTTTGTAAACATTATTCCCAAATTGTCACTAATATTTTACATTCTTCAATAGCATGGGCATATATAGATACACATTTTCATATTTTTTTTTACTCATTTTACTGAATACTCCTAAATTAACCCCTCTTATAACTGCTCCAGTGACTGATATAACTGCTCCAGTGACTGATCTTCCCTTGAGGAGAAATGGAAATATTCCAAGTCCATGGAATAAGCAAAATTGATAAATGAATTAAAACTTTGCACCTGCAGTTTTAATGAGGACTAAGGAAAGATTAAAAACAGCAAGCAATAAAGTAAATCTAAAGAAATAATGAATGCATGAAGTCAACTAACCACAGAAGTCTATTATGATTTAGAATCTTACACCAATAAAATTTTTTAAGGGAAACTAGTCCTTGATAAAGTTCTGACATATTACGCAGATTAGGTTGAATGTGTGTGGAAAGAAACACAGGCAAGATAGAAAACAACTTGAGCAAAAATGATCCATGCATCTAATTAAGAATGTGTAAATTCTATCAGGAGACTTGTTGCTTATGTAGGGGCTAATTCCTTCAGTCTCAGATCAGCTGGGGTCTGTGCCTCTGGCGGCAACTTCTGCAAGTAGCAAAGTTTTAGTATGGATATTATTATTGCAAATATTACAAAACTGCATATTTCACAGAAAATGTCAATTAGATTATAGTGCGAAAATAGATTTTATTGTGAATATGTAAATATTTATTAAGTTATTGGGCTGTGTGAAAATGATAGCAGGGTTCTTGAGTAGCATACATAAAGACATTATAGTGAAATGAAATTTTAAACTGCCACATTAAAGTTGCAGTTAATTTAGAGAAATTGGTGTGTTCATTACTAAATTTATTTCATTTGTGATTTATAACATGTATATATTTGTTTAGGATATTGATTAGTAATATGTCATTTCCATTTCTTATACTACGCTGAACTGATTAATATTTAGTACTGAATCATTTTCCATTAGTTTGGCTAGTTATTATTATTGGCTAAAATCATTTTCCATTAGTTTGGCTAGATAATACAATATTTTTGCAATATTTGCAAAATTGTGTATGTACAGAGAAATCTAAAGATTTTTATTATTAGAGTGCAAAAATAGTCCTCTGTGTGAATATGTAAATATTTATTATGTTATAGGGCCGTGTGAGGACGATAGCAGAGTTCCTGAGTAGGCTACATAAAGGCGTTATAGTGAAATGAATTTTTAACATGCTAGGTTAAAGTTACTGTTAGTATAAATTGGTATAAAATTATTCAATCTATTCCATTAGTGATTTGAAATTTGCTTATATTTGTTTAAATGAAATTTGTATTATTTAGTAATGTGCGAGTCCTATTTTTGTACTGTGCTGAACTATTTCAGTGTTTAATATTGAATCGTTTTCTTAGTATCATTTATTAGTATGAGTAGTCATTGTTGCATATATTGAAAAAATGCCTATTTCTGGGAAAATGTAAATTTGATTATTTCAGTGCACTGCAGAGACAACTTTATTAGAAGGGTTCGAATGGGGTTTTAATTATGTAGCATTAAAAATATGTATGATATGCATGTCATGCATGTCATGTCACCAGCAGCTGAGCGGTTAGGTCTGAACACTGGTAGTTCAGCGGGGGGGGGGGGGCTAGAATGCCACCAAATTAGTTGGCTGCATGGGCATTCCCATCGTTTCGCTCACGCATAACTTGCATATGACCCAGTTACTCTTAGAAAGTCCTCAACGAAGACATCTCTCCTCTTAGGCAGATAATCCTCTTATGCTTTGCCATAAGTAAAGAAACAACCATTTGTTATGTATATTTCTGTTATAACAAAAATGGTACATAAAAAATGTCTTACTATAAATAGGATTTTACATTTATCTCACACCCTACCTATTTCTATGTTTATTTAAAAAATTTTAATTTACTAGAGAAACTTAAAGGAAGATGAGTGAAGGCGGCAGTTTTACGTTTTTGCTCCATATAGGAAAAATGCTAAATCCGGCGCTGACTTCCTTCAAACCTCTGATTGAAGTCTCATAACAAACTTCATTTGGTACTTATTTTAGACTAAATAATTAATCTACCTTCATATAAAGTACCTAAGGTTTGTTTATTTTTAGTGCATATAAGGAAAACAGTACAAGCAAACAGATGAAATGAGGACATAATATTAAATAAGGTAATAAAGCAAAAAAGGTACGCAAAAAAAGTATTATTAATGCAACAGAACATTAGAATCTATTCTGGGAGCAGGAGAAAGATCACCCAGACAAATAACTATTGCGTAATAAGATAGAAAAGCTGCCAAACGACTTCCATGCCGCCGCGAATCGCAAAGCAAAACAAAACTGAAAATCACTAACCATGTCTTGTTTGACCTTCAAAATATCACTCAATGATTTTTAAATACAGACTTGCTACAAGAAATAAGTGGAACGAACTAGAACTTTCTCAGCGCTTCACAGTTGACCTTGGATAGCCCTGTTGGTAATTCTCAAAGTAAATAATACTCATAACTTTGCCTTGCAATCCCTTTTTTTTTTTTTCTTTTTTTTTTTTTAACTAGACCTTCTTTTAGCTTTTAAGTAGATTTAAGGTCTACAACTCTCATAGAAATTAAAATGCTGTTATATTCAAATAAATTACAATCCAAACTGCAGTTTAATTATAACAGCATATGCAATTTTTAATCAGTTTTATAACATTAAATAGTACTAAATATAACCAGGATTTGATTCAAAAACATAAATTGAAAAAAATTTCCGAAAAATTTGGCGCAGTAATATAAACTTCAAATTAGATATTCCGTTATAGTATATAAGAATAAAAAGATTAATGTACTAGCAGAAATTTTGTAAACAATACATTTCATATTTAATAAGTTGTTCCCTCAGAATCATTTTCATGCCTAGGAACAGGGTCTCATCAAAAACATTAATTAGGGATAATTATGAATAAATTTAGAGCAATGTTGCGGAACAGCACAACATAATGCTTCTAATCAAGCAGTCATGGAAAAGTTTTCAAATAATTAGTTCCATCATGCATTAAAATAATTTAGAATCTCCCTTTTGCAAGTATTAATTTATGATTATGAAAATATTCCTATCAAATTTAATAGCTCCATATCAAAATGTTTATCTTCAGTAAAAGATACTTCAAAATTTAGATTATGCAACTAAAGTCACTTAACAAATCTACCCAACCAATTATATTATTTGAATTTTTTATGATAAATTTATTATAAATACAAAGTAAACATGTAATGAAGTAACACTAGCAATTATGTATAATTTTCACTCAAATTATTGATTTTCAAGAGTTTCTCAGAATTACTGCTGCACCACAAACGATATTCATGGAAAATAAATGACATTTTTTTTTTTTTTTTTTTTTTTTTTTTTTCGGTTTTGAAAAATGAAACTAGAAGACACTTCCTAGAAGAAAACTTTGGTCAGAGAGGAAAAAATGATATGGTATTTAAATAATATTTTTATGGTAATTCATTATTAAATTATATTTTTATGGATAGCATAAGGACTATATGCCTAACAAATGCATTAAAAAATGCTTTTGCGAAAGATTTTTAAAGAGAAAAAGGCTTATATTCATGTTACACATGGGAAGGAGGAAAATAAAAAGTAAATGCAATCAGCCCACACTTTAAAAGTCAAGCCACCAGTATTAAGTGGCCTTATCCACTCTCTGTACTGGTGGGCTTCATGTTAAATATTTAATCATATTAATAACAAGATAAGGCTTCAAGTTAGCCTTTTTAAGTAAGAGATATTACACACACATGTAAAAAATTTCATGCAACCAGCCTATTTCAGAACTAGAAATCGAAGAATATTGAAATTATCAAAACAAAACCTAAGCTGAATGACCTACTGAAACAATATACGATACAGGTAAAAGACTTGTACAGGTTATTTATTTTGTGATGTTTAAATTAAGTACCAGAAAGCACACAAGTATCTAAAAGGGGTAATACTTTTGTGGAAGACTTATTAAGGAAAACTGGCTTGCATTTACATTACACAGTACGAAAACCACGAAAATATCCATGCCATCTGCAAGGATTCGAACCCTGATCAGATGGCTGATCAGATGGCAATGTCACCTACTCAGCTAACAGCAGACTTTTCGTAGTGTTATTTCTATGACTAGATCTTAATCCATGCTCACTAGTGGTTATTCGATAAAACTATGAAATACTGACACTCTGTTGCAAGTTCAACTCCTGCCACCTAAGCTGGGGGGGGGGGGTTGTAAAGCATTTTTGAGATTTTCGAAATGTGGAACATTAATACAAATTTATTTCCCCCTCAGATAATTTACTATAAAGTTATCCATTCTTAAACAAAATAATAATAATAACAAAATAAGTCTCTAATTCGGATGTCCATTATCCGGAATGATCTATAATCCGGACCTCAAAGCCACAAACTTACGC